AAATAAATATATTGGATTTTTTTTGCATGGACTCCGGGATGACCTCCGAGGGAAAGAACTGGAGGAACGCGTCATAGTCCAGCAGTCCATATCACATCGTGCAGTAGTATTCAAAGTTGTGCTGACTCATATGCAACTCGAGTTGACCGTGAGCCACCTGCACAAGTCGGAGGACCTCGGCCTCGGCTTTCTCAAATTGGAACTTCCTTAACCTGGTGGAATGATCGCCACTGTTTGGAATTGTCCATGAATCGTGTTTTCCGGACGGATTCACACCATATCCGGTGTCAGTTAGTTCCTGGACTATCCCTGTTGTGACCAAATAGTCCATAAGGCCCACTCACTGAAACGATGGATTTGTTCCTCCTTATCTTAATCATTTCCGATGCTTTTGTCTGATTATGGGTTAGATTAGATTCACCCTTGCCAAAAACTAAAGGCGAAATGGACATTGGGCATACAGCTTGGCGTAAGATCATATTTTACTGGGGCATGCCATCGCCTATGGCAATTTCGTTACAATATTCGAGTACAACTGGGAGTCAGAAGATTTGGTTGCACATTTTTTCCCTGCTCCAATTAGGATGGCAGCGGAATTGTCGGCACGAGTTTCACGACATATGCTTCACCTGAACAATACCACCTTTTACTTGCAATGGCTTTTGGGATTGTGTACAGGGAAGGTTTTCCCGAAAGCGCACAATAGTCCAGAGCCGCGTATGTTTTCCAATATCCACTCACTGCTCCTTGTCCATGTCTACAATCAAATCATTATCCATGAACTGTTGCAGTAAGTGGTGATGGGTGACTTCCTGCAACTTACTGAAGTGGGCAGTCCTGCAGAAGAGATTTCCTCGAAATTCTATAGTAGAAACTACAAACCTTTCTTGAACTTGTACCACATTTTCGTGTTTTGACTTCCTGGGAGTCCATGGTGGACCGGATGATTTTGTTAAAATCGCAAAGCCAAAGTGAATGAACCTGAATACAGAAAAAGCATGCTGAGTTTGTTGGGCTTAGATGACAGACTATTCACCAATTCAAACCTCACCGCATCATCAATCATGCCACCAGCAACAAAGTTTGATGCTGTGTCTGCAAATATTTACAACCTTGCCAGGCACGCCGGATCCAAGGAATCTCCGAGAATCAGGGAGCAAATTGACTCGAAATATGTTCTAAGGAAGACTTTCCCGTACCTGATATGAGCGTTAGCACGTGACTTATTCTACTATTCTACTGCAGCTTTGAGATTTATACTTTTTTATAAACTCCGGTTCGCAGAGAATTTACAGCAGACAAGCACGCTGCTGTTAAATCAGATACTCTGTCACATCCTGAAAACAGTTAAAAAAAAAGCAGAGTAATTGTTATGATTGTTTCACAAACTGTTTCGACCACCCAGTACAGAGTAAATTCAACAAAGGTGACAAATTGGACGTGAGAAATCTAGCTAGCTTCAGTCACATATCTAAGAAGTCATTCGTATTCTTATATCTTTTCTCACAAACTCTACAACTCTCTCAACGCAGAACTGCAGGGTCTTTCCGATAACAGGCCAAACATCTGACACAGGATGTCTGCGCCGCTGGTTTCGTCTCTTCCAGAGCCTGCCGCTAGATTGCACGACGAGTGTTGCGAATGCCGTGTGAGGAAAGTCCATATCTTGAACACTGCGTGTGGTCGGATCGTGCAGAAATCCGAGATTTAGTTAGACACACGAATTGTACACCGCAGTGAAGCTGTGGATCTCTTGATTGAGCTTGAGTTGGAGTAATCGGAATGGTGCTTTCTGGACTACATTGGAAGATGTATAATCTCGAGTGATGTTCCGAATCCAGGATCGATATCCTTCTCCGTTCACTTCATACCATTGACCATAAGCTCTTGTCTCTGTGCTCGATACATTATTTACAGCTGGTGATCATCAACATTTATACAAGGATAGCTTGGTCCACTTCATGATCGTGCTTCTGATGCATTATTAATATTCTGCGTGATGAATGTGTACACAATATCGGAGTCAAGGAATTGAACGAGAATCGCGCTCACTCTGATATTCAATAGACGATGTTCTCCATTCTTTGAAATGATATCCTCGACGTTAAAGTCAAATTGCTGCAAGAGTCTCTGTAACTGAACGTCCACACGCAGTCTAACTGCAAAAGCATGCGTGCTACGAACTACCGCATTTATACACGTCACAGTTCTGAGCGTGCTGGCGCTTACCATTGTGTTGAGATCACGGCCAGCACAAGCATGTTATCAGCGTCTTTCACAGATATACCTCAGCTAGTCAACCATGACCTGATACATGGCTTACTAGAACTGAAAAGCTGGGATGTGGATTCTTCTTTCTGCATGTTCAACAGGTTCAAGGAGGGCAGCAATGCCGACTGCACGAATACCTTCTAGTAGAAAGATAAAAATGGGAAGCATCGAGACAAGGTAAGAGACATTCGGATCAAAATATTTGATAACACATCAACAGTTTTTCTAATGGCCCCATATTTCTGGATGCAAGCTTTATTATCATCACGTCTCGAGTCCTGAATCAAGAACTGCTGGTCCAGTCTCAGGGATTCTGAAGTTTATGTACACCATTCTCTTCGTCCAGATAGAAAAAATTTCTCTCGTCTAAGCGAAACAGGATACGTTTCAGCACACTGCAGAAGAATTTATGTCAGTTTCGAGAATCTTGATTTCCACTTCGTCTCGCATATGATGCATGAAGCCTTCATTGATCCATCCTTTACGCTCCACTTCGCCCCCTACAATTTGGAGCGAGTATGGATTTCACTGGTATGGAGCACGGGCGGGTTCCCTCATACGAACACTATTCAGGCGGACGAACTGCTAAGTAAGTCGATAGAGTTGAGCGAGAGGTGTTGGGTATGGAGACGGAACATCAGAGAGATCTTGCCTTTCCCGCGTCCTCTCTCTAGTCTTCAATTCGAACCCTCGCTCTTCTTGCTTTCGGCTTTCTTCGCTTAGTTTCAGGAGCCAAATGCGCGGAGAAGTGAAGATGTCAACGCTGCAGCATGCTGAGCAACGATGAGCGATTTTGGATCGTGGATCGTGGATTGCTCCGGCCCATGACTGTCAGTCAATCCCAAAGCTCAGTAATGCGATGTCAAATATTTTCTTACTGAGATTGCTGTCAAACTAATCTCCGAGGACTCCATTGAAAATTCTGGTAGACATAGATGTGACTGTTACTGTGGAAGTGTTCACTTGCTTCAGGATATTTTATTTACATTTCGCGATCGGAAGCTTTTCAATTGAGCTGATGTTGAAGCAAGGCACTGATTTGCGAAATCAAAATTACTTGTATTTGAAAAACCCAAGACCACATCACTTATGGTTTGACTCATCCGATTATAACTAAGGATATAGACTATCAACTGCTCTTCACATATCCAGGAATCAAAGACGGATCTTCGAGGTAAAGGGAGTGTAAAGGAACTTGAATTACATCTTCCAGATTAGTTTTACATTCATACGGTTGTCATTATATATGCCTGTGCCATTTTGAGAAAACGGATATACTTGTTTCTGTTTTCTGAAAATGAGAATCAAACTGGCAAATAATGGATAAAGGATTGATCTCAAGTTTTACCCCAGTAATTAAGTAGGTTTTGAAACTGACCAAAACATGCGACGAGAGATATCAACGTTGAAATGGAAAGAGGTGACTCATTAGAGACAAAGTGAATTTGTCTGTCAAAAATACTAAAAATTTTCATAGTCATTAAGAATAAACTAATGAATGATTTGGAAATTTAATTAGAGGTTCAAACAAATTGTTATCAATGAAGTAGATTGATTTTTATTTACTTTCAACGAATATCAATTTTCAAAGCAAAAAATGCATAGAAATTTTTAGAAGATCAAGCTACGCTCTACTCATACAAAATAGACAACCTTTGTGACAAAATAGACTTATTTAGTTGACTTGTATGGAAAAAAATCTACTCTATTATATATGGTGTACAGTAAAATGAATTAATATGGAGTGTATTTTAAATAGAGTCATCTGGTTTCGTAAACGACCATTTACCGAAATCTTGCTTCACTTCCCTAACATGGACGAGATTGATCACCAGATGACTCTTCATCCAATCCACAAATAGGCAATCTACGAGTCTGCAATTACAACTCCGAGCTCGGTTATTTGAACCCAAACAATTTTGACAACCAGTTGGTCTTCGCACACAAAGCGCACAAATGCGCAGCTCACCAGGAGTGCGTTGATCTAAGCTACTGAATCGGATTTCTGTAAAGAAGAATACACCCTCGATTTAGGTCTACCAACTTCTTCAGACTCTGGATGTTAAAACTCAGCGGTCAAGAAGCAGTTACCATTGCCTGTGGACATTACAAGCAACTACAGTATACTCTTTGAAGTGACTCCGTGGGAATCCTTCTAAAACCCATCCATGTTCATGAAATGCCAAAAATTTCTGTTTCAATTTGAGGAGAGTCCTGATTCAAACCTCGGATAAGTTGATCGTAACCCAAAACCATAACCTGCTAGCTAGTCTGCATTCGTGGAGGGACCGGCTAGCTTGAATACAGTTCTGATGGTCGTGTGCTTTCAAATGCGCTTTTGCGTTTTGCTGTTGTCTTTGCAGCCTACTGTGTGAGATTTATATCCAGTATATACTGATGTTTTATTCTTACCTCAACTCTTCCATTCAATTTCTTACTTCACAAGCGTATGCCGCATCTGGCTGTAGGATGTACGATTAGAATACGACTGTATTTTACAACAAATAAATATCTTTTCCGTACCCTAAAGATTCCTAAAATGCAATCTTACATTTCCAAAATCATTCGTAAATTCGCAATAGAGACCTACTTCATAACAAGAAGCCCGACATTTAAGAACAGTCTAATCATTAGACTGAACTTAAACTGCTCTTAAACTGCTATAAAGATTAGAGTCTAATCTTTATAGCAGACTAATTTCGGTATTCGAAAATTTATCAAAAACCTGCGTTGTAAATCTGCTTTTATTCACATGAAATTGCACTTCATAACCGCTAGTGCAAGAAAGAGTAGACTAGAATTTAGCAAAGCAAATAGTGTAACAGTAAAGTCTTTCCACAAAAGTGTTCATAAATCTTAACCTGCAGTTAAACAATACTAGGTGTAATGTAGTAAGAGCAAGACCTCGGCTCAAATTTCGGGAACATCGGGAAAGGAGAGGTGCATTTACAAAGTATGCACCGTCTAGCTAGCGTTCTTTCTTGATAGAGGTGGAATATCATCTGTACAGTATGACTTAATAAACAGTCAACGGATGAAACCAAGTAATGATGTGACTTCTTCGCGTGTCATTATGTAGACGGTTTCAATCAAATGGAAATGCATATGTAAGTGAGTGCATACGTCCATGCACATAGTCGCATGTGTGCTCTCCCTCGAACCTCGACCGGCTGGGTTCTTCTTACCGATGAAGTGCTACCATTCTCTCGACCATACAACAGCACACAGGGCATATACAGGGAGATGAGCTGTCCCTGTAATTGTATATCGCATTCTTGCATGGAGAGCATAATGCATAATGTTTACACGGCATTGCTATCCATGTAGACTGCCGATTACAGCCAAACGAACAAGCTGCACGCAGGTGATCTCCGTCCTGGTAATTTGAGACAGCATGGAACACACTTACCGGTTTCTCTCGACGTGCCCCGTGAGCTTTGCCATCTCCATTAGGAAGTTCAAGGTTATTGGTTGAGTTCTGCATCACATAAAAAATACAGTCTCTGTGATCAGCAGTAATCAAGATTTCAAACACAATGGCCGCTAAAAAATTCAATCTTTTTAAAATAAGGATTCTCTATGACATCAAATCTTCTTCTGTTGAACGTGAGTTGCCATTTTACCGAAATCAAGGGCAGAATTTCAATTGCAACTGCCAAAGCACAAATCCTGATCAACAAGGATGCATCTCGGCTGATAGTTACCTGCTCATAACTGTTCTTGCAAACTTGTACGTTGAGCTCCTGATCAGTACTGATCCCGTCACTTGGAAAACTCCAGATGCTTTTGTTTGAAGTACTGCTCATATTGTTTTCAAGTGTGAAGAAAGGAGTCATCTGATTATCATAGGCTGAAAACGGAGTTAAATTCACTTGATTGACAGGAGTTGTCGGCTCTTCTGATAGGTTTCTTATGAAGGAATTCCCCACCTGTCGGTGCAATAGTGCTTGGCTCATACTAAGATTTGGAGGATCTTCTATTTCTGTAGAACCAATCATGAAGGACTGTGCTGACTTCCCTTTTTGAAGAACATGGGAAGTACTAGCCTTCAGGCTATTGTTGCTGATTTCATCAACATGACGCATTTGACTAACACTCGAATTAGACCAACTTCCACTCGCGACCTGTTTTTCCGTAGTGTTATCTGAAAACAACAAGAAGTCCAGACTGTTTGTAGGGTTAGTAGGTTTTCCATTTTGGTATGGAGAATCTGTTAATCGCAGGTCCTGAAGTGGTGCAGGGGTTTCATTCCACTTGGGAGAACTTGATGGTCTTCCTGTTTTTCCATCTAGACTTTCGAAAGGTGATACTCTCATGCCATGATCTCTTGAGAACCCGTTCAGATTTTTTTCAGCAAGGCGCTGAAGAGAATCTGTAAGTAGCAGCTCTCCAGAAGATCTTCCAAGGACGTTACCATGAAAGTGCTCTAAGTCTCTCGCTACTGGAGCTTTGTTTGCTGTCTCGTGAGAAATCGCAGCTGCATCCGAATTCCGAATTTCAGCAACCGATCTTCCTCGCAGAGAACCCATCATATCCTTCTGATGGCTGCCAGTTGTTGACGCCCGTGGAGAGAGTGGAAGAAGCACCAAATGAGTGGCAGGACCCAATCCCACAGGTACAATTCTGATCTTGCAAAGATCTGGAAAGCATTTTATGAATTCATTGAGTTTATGATGCCCAGTAGCTGCGTGATCTAACTCTAGACCACAAGTTGCTCTAAAATCCCCTTTTAGTGAAGATAGGGGGTACCACTCTCCGTCTTTCAACCGTCGATACACATCCGTCAAAAATTTCGGTAGCCACGCCTTGAATCGTGACAACCAGAATGGGCTCGTGCTCGGTGAATTGCTGCTCAATGTAGAAGAGGATGCACCTTCTGATGTAGTTGGCTCCTTATCTGAAAAGAGGTCATCAGGTCCTTGTTTCCATGTTTTTGACCACTTAAGTTGCAAACCTGTTTCTGCATCAAAACTCACATCAAGAGATGACGGCTGATGGTTAACCACCCTCGGTGTATTCCTTTCAGAAACTTCAGATGACAGATCGGAAAACTCTCTCGGCACAGTAGAACCTATTTTCGCAATCTCCAGTTGAGACGATCCTGAACGTGGAACCGCACCCTTGATTTCAACCTGAATACATCGCATGGAGTAAATACTCGGCACTTGATGATTGCATCGGATAATACTGATAAAGAGTCCGAGCTTAGCACCTCATGATTTACATATCGAAAGCAATATTATAACTCTCTTTTCGAAATGTGTCAAGACAATCATAATTATTCAAAAACAATTTCATTGTTTATTGTAGTGGCTTTAGATTAGGACGTTCAGTTCTTTTACAGAATTTTTTATCAAGAGGATGCCAAAATGTCTGTACACTTCATGATCTATTCGCTATGACTCAAATACTACACGTAGCAAACGTAAGTTCATGGCTTGGTCCTAGCTGGCGTCTGTTGTTGAGTCCCTCGAGAGTAGATAAAGCTTGAAAGTTACCTTCTTCCCAAAGAGGTTGACGTAATGAGTTTTCACGGCAAGTAATACAGATTCCTCATTCTTGAATGTGACGAAGCCGAAACCACGGGACTGGACTTGATCACCTGATTGACTACCAATAACGACTGCATCCATGACAGGGCCAAACTTTTCTTCGAAATAAAATCTCAAATCATCTGCCAACATCACATTTTATATTCATGTTATGTATGTAAAATTGCAACTTGAAACTTTGCACGAAGAAATAATAGACGCTCCATTCAATCTTAATTTCCAATCAATCAATGAAGAATAAAACTTGCGGGTTATCACCACTCTTGAAATGAATGCTCAACGTTATGGACTCCGATATATTGAAATACCATGTAAGAGAGAGCAACTCCTAGTATGGACATACGTGACCTGTAAACTCTCTGTCCAACTGAATTCGAAAACTTGAGTGACAGGACTAAACCATAAATATTCTAGCAACTTGTTGAACTAGAAAAACTTGGTTCAGAAAGCTTTCTATCCACAACCTTTACTAAGTTAGTCAATGGAGTTGTTCTAGATTGCAAGTGAGTGATCTTATTTCTTGATTCACAGGAAAAAGTTATTCAAAGCTTACCAGACTCCACTGAAGGTGAAAGACCTCCCACGAAAACTTTTTTGCTCAAGTCTTCCGGTGACATTTCCTGGATGGCAACCAAAAACTGGGTTTCAAAGACTTTTGATATCAATCGCATTAATTTTTAAGATGTTATCAGATAACTAAATTCCAGAGCTTAATGAAATGTCCAGCTGGGTGATCTTACACTAATCTTCACAAGCCGCACAAAAGGGGCAGAGCCGCTGACAAAATGTGGTGAAAAGCTCCTCGGTCGTCTGTGAAGGTCTTCTTCACCATGAGCATAAAAGCATTTTTCTCCACGCACGCATCCACCAGGCATTCCATAATACCTGCACATCTCTGTTTTGGCTGGAACAAGTACCTTCAAGCTGCAAGGCATGTTGTTGTTAATATAATTAAAATACCTCTCAAGCGCTAAGACGATGAATTACAAATCAAACATACCGGTGCAAGATGTAGAAACAATCGAAGCTGTTCACCAGATTCCATTCAGATCCAGAGGAAAAGGAAGCAACAAAAGACGAAGGATGTGTTATGACTAGACCATGAAGCATTCTTGCGACGTTCTCCGGTGCAGAGAGAACCCTCGGAGACGTCCGACTTCAGAACTACACTTCCTCCGAGCCCTGGCATGGCTTCAGAAAAGTCAGACTCCCCTCTCTGCGCCATTGATGGAGGAATTTGCTCGCAGCTCTGAGCTCCTGACGTCCAATTCGATGGGCTTCGGAAGACGGAGGACGATTCCAGTTCTCGTCTGGGCTTCGAGCGAATTCTTCTTCTTCGCATCCATTCTCGACGCCTGCCGCCTTCCCCTTTACACCATCGCCATGCGTCGGGGACGCGCGGATTGAGACGCTAATGCCGTTGCGCTCGAACAGATTCGTTACGATCGTTGGGTCGTAGCGACATTCAATCTGAAATTCAAAATGTTTCTCACGAAGTGTGTCTTCGAAAGGATTCCAACTTTTGATTTTCGAGTGCATCGAGTGAGCTCCGAGATTCAAATCGAGGCCAGTTCTTTCATACTTTCATAGCCAGTCGATTTCAGACTGGGAAGCACATGCTTATGTTTTCATAACATTTGAGATTATCATGACTGAACTCTTTGATAAAATCATATGATTATAAGTAAAGTTCAATGAAACTGAAACAAAGATTAGCCAAAGTTTTTTGTTCATAAGAACCAAGATTTAGATGAAATGCAAACGATTCAATATTAATTCCTTCGATCGTGAGGAACGATCTGGACACGATACAGCTGCAAAGTTTGGAATCCAGCTCCAGACATCAGCACACATCTCCTTTTCAAGTCATGGTGAAAATGTCAGACTGAGTGAAGTTTACCACTGTAGATTTCGAGTTCTGGGACATACTTTGAGTCTGATTCTATGTCAAATCGATTAATGGCTTGCACCATGGTACATGTACGAGAACATTCTTTTTACATTGAAGATCTCTTAGATTAGTAGAGAGTAGAGAAATGTCCGTACAATTTTTGATTATACAGACATTACGCTTATTTTATAAAGTGGAGTATTGAATGGTATAATTTATTGTTGAACCTATGTTTCGTATGACATAATATATCATGTCTTACGAAAATTTCCTGCATATCGATTTCATATGATTTAAGCCCCTAAAGATATAAGAATAAACTTCTCGTTGTCAAAGCTGAAATCTTTTTATTCTTCTTATATTGTGAATCACATCCAAAATTTTGTGATTTCAAGATTGTTTCCCATATTTAAATTTTAGTAACTGAACTGTACATATTAAATATAATCATTTCATATGTCATACAGTTTTACATGTCTTACATGATTTGCCACATAAAGCATGAGTTATTGGAAAAGGTAACAGTTTGATTTTTCATCAAATAAAAACTCATGTAATTTGGACGTTGCTGACAATTACTACGTTTATGATCAGACACTCAATATTAGATCTTAGAAGGTTGCCACCTTTATAAGCTATATTGGTGACAAAACCTTTGTACTAGAGTTATTTGTCTAATTTTATAAGTAATTCGTTCCCATCTTCTGAGCTTTCTTCCCACTTATACTTTCTTGCACTACGAATCCTTATTATGCTCATTCTCCTACATTATGATGCATGGATAAGAATTGATAGCCGCAAAGAGACAAATGGCGATAATTGACGACAGAGAATAAAAGATAATGAAGCCTGTAAGTGGATAAAGGACTCTGTCCAGCAAAGTGTCCACAACGAAGAGTTTCATATAGAGGTCGACTACGAGCTGCACTGCCAATGTAGAGATTTCATCTCCAATTCTGCGTCGTCCTTCTCTGGGACACCCCTCACATGAACAACAGGTTCTATGGCACGGCGAACTTAATCAAAAATTGGGAAAAGAACTGAGCCGAACACCCTCTCCCACAACCCCGGGGAGAACACATGTCTATAATACCGCAGCTTATCAAAGAGAACTTCCAAATCACACTCTTTTCAGGGTGGAGATCAAAGTTCAACTCGGACACACCTGATTGAGAAGCAAAGCGAGTGATTGGAGAAATCGATTCTTGAAAGAATAGATACAAATGTGGGGACATAGAGAATATGATATCTGAGGATTTTAACCATCGTCATGTGCTTTCTCCAATTTTAGCTTCAAAGTCATGTGATCTGTAAAACGGAAGTCACAAGCTTCGTCTTGCAGGAAGTCCTTTATGTCGCTTAAAGAACCCAACCTACCCACTTTAGGATTGCATGCACTGACGCGAATGTCATATTAAATAGTAGATATCTGTCACCCAAAGTACAGTCCACATGAAGCCAGGTGTCGTAGGCATAGTGGAATACAGCCAAAGAACCGTTCACTCAACCTCTTGGGAAAAAGTCCTCCACCTTAAAGTCATGGAATGTATGCATTCTTCAAATCTAGTGAACATAGTTATTTAAAATATGTATTTCTAAATTTGATGTTTTATAACACATTCTCGATTCGAGATTACAAGTCTATTTGATATGACATTTCAAAATCTGGATTTTACTTTAGATTGTGTCCTCATATTTTGTTAGGTTGATACCATTATTTCCTTGATTATTGGTCAGATAATTGATGTAAAAGTTATCCAATCAAATAAAGTCAATGTAAAACACATTCTTGAGCTGAGAAAATATTCCGTTGGAAGCCACTCTGATCTGAGAGCAAAAGGTTTCGTACAATAACGAGTAAAAATACATTATGACTGACTGAAAATTCTGCCGGGTACATGGCACCAAAATTGAGAATTACAGAAAGGAGACTAGAATAATATTGCTCAAAATTCACGCAAAACTTTTCTCTACTAGCTCAGCGTCTCTGCTTCGTCACTCATACCGCTCCAACCATGGAACTTGAAAATCTTTAATCAAATGTTGTCCACATTAACCCGCTTTCTAAACTGCTACCAAGTATTATTCTTCAAGTCTGAATCATGTACATTCTACAGTACCCGAAGACTAGCAGAGAATTAACAAGATATAAGTACATTTCACATCTCATTTTAGTATGGAGATGTCACAGTTCACATATGTAGTATTTAAAGCACTTAGAAAGAAAATATAATTGTACTAGTATAACTTAGTTTTCCTATCCGACTTAAAATTCCCAAAAAACTTTTGTTATCATCTTCACTAGCATTGAATTGTTTCAATTTTAGTCATCTGTTTCATTACTTACAAAAAAACTGAAATCATTTAGATTTTTATCAGATTCTATGTTGGCTAATTTGATTTGATAAAATTAGGAGGATTGAAGTTAAAAACTGCAATTAGTTCCTAAAGACTTGCAAAGGGACATCATCACGATTTTAATGAATATGCTGGTTATAATAGCCAATCCAAAACATCTTCCTAGCAGGATCCCCTTAAGCTCATGAGAATTATTTACCAGTTTAAATATGGTTTAGACATGATACAATCTCGATCTCGCCCTGTCCAAATAACTTTCAGCACATTTGGCTTCAAATCTAGAATCAGACTGTTGCAATTTTAAACTGAAAAGATTGACATGTTAAAATAATAGTGTCATCGATGATACTAATTTTATCAACTCTAATTATGTACCTGCTCACGGTATATCACGGTTTTGGATAATAAACCTTTACTTCATCATAAATTAGCTTTGCATTCTTTGAATGCAACCATTTTACATATAAAAAAGCTCATCTCTCCAATACCAATGCATTGCCTACAAGTTAGATGCACACTAAATTTTGATATAAATAGCTAACGTAGATAAGACAGGAAAAATTCTGCTAGTGAATCTCTTACAGAAATCTTCTAATATAGAACTCTATGTTTTCAATTATTTTTAGTAATTACATATACAAAGATTTGTCACTCCACAATGCCCTTTCCTTTTCTAATCCTCTCTAGGTCTTCGAATTTCAAGATGTCCATCGGGATCTCTCCCTTTGGAGGTTCCGTGTGATGTCCAATTCGCATCCGCTCGCTTAACAAACGTCCATCTTGAAATCTAAGGCGAGGTCCCGTGCTTTCTGGTCGAGCTTTTGTCCTTTCAGAACCAAGCTGCAGTTCCAGAGAGATGTGATTGTCGTAGTCGATTTTCTCGCTGGTGAGCCTAGGTTCGAGTTCAGCTCGAAGATCCTTGATGGTGAGCGTAGTATCGACTTTAGCTCTATCCTGGATGGAGAACCTGGTTTCGACTGGAGCTCGATCCTGGATGGTGAACCTCGTTCCAACTTGAGCTCGATCCTGGATAGTGAACCTGGGTTCCAATTGAGCTCGATCTTGGATCGTGAGCCTGGGTTCGACTTTCGCTTGACTCGGGAAGGTGAACTTGGGTTCTGCTTGAGCTCGATCCTGAATGATGAACCTGGGTTCGACTGGAGCTCGATTTTGACTAATGAAACTGTGTTCGACTTGAGCTCGATCCTGGACGGTGACACTGGGTTCGACTTGCGCTCGATTCTGAGTGGGGAACCTGGTTTCGACTTGATCTCGATCCTGTACGGTGAGCCTGGGCTCGACTTGACCTTGATTCTGAATAATGAAACTGTGTTCGACTTGAGTTCGATCCTGGACGGTGACCCTGGGTTCGACTTGCGCTCGATTCTGAGTGGGGAACCTGGGTTCGACTTGAGCTCGATCCTGGACGATGAGCCTGGGTTCGACTTGTGCTCGATTCTGAATTGGGAACCTGGATTCGACTTGAGCTCGATCCTGGACGGTGAGCCTGGGCTCGACTTGAGCTCGATTCTGAATGGTGAACTTGGGCTCGACTTGAGTTCGATTTTGAATGGTGAACCTGTTTCCCACTTCAGCTCGACCCTGGATAGCGAACCTGTGTTCGACTTCCGCTCTATTCTGCCGGCTCTCTCCCAATTGTGCCCTCCAGACTGAAGCATTTCTAAGAAACTGAGCCAACATCTCCCTGCTGTAAGGAGCAAAAGCACGGGATGCTTGATGGCGCATCCGGGAACTCGCCTGGATTGGAAAATGAGAAAAATGGTAAGCCTGTGTATGAATAAAACTAAAGATTGTTATCATCCATTGCATTTGTTAGGACTGAAATTGGAACTGAGAAATATGGGGAAACAACTCCTTGAAACATTCTCAAAAGGAAACTGGGTGAAAAAACCTATAAAGCATTATCTGGTAGTATTTGAATAATGGGAGATACCTGTGCATGCCGAAGAAATGAAGGAAGAACTCTTGAACCCAAAGCAAGACTGTGAGAAGCTGGACGATATATACATTGACGTTTCCTCGATCGCCTGGTCCTACCGTCAACGCATGGGAAAATCCTAGAGCGGCTTGTTCCCGGTTTCCGATCTCCCAATTCCTGCCCATGATCAACTTTCCTGGCCCTGGACATTGTAATGAATCTGTGTCGATCTTCTGGAAAGTCCATGAGATACATTGCTTCAATCATCGGTTTCCAGACTCGTACTCGAGCATTTATGAACCAGTTGGAAACCTGCACGTTGGAAAGGAGGTATTCTACGTTATCATGCACCAAAGTGAGGAATCAGGTGCAGGAAAAATTAAGTATTTTCAAAGTCACCCTATGTGTGACGAAGATCATCGAAAATTTCAACCAATGATGAGGAAATGGGATGCGACTGAGATCACACTCTTTGAAAAGTACAGAAGTTTTCTCATCCAACAAAAGAAGGCGAAAAAGCTAAACATAACTGGCTGTCGTTCATCAAGAAATCAAGTTCTTATGTTCAAAATAGTGTCTCTTTGGGATAAACTTCTAGATGAGGAAATGATGTTTGCAAGCTTGACATTGTACCAACAAACGAGAGCTTAGTCTGCTCACCTGTGATCTCGTCAAACCCGTCGCTGAGGCCAACGATTCTTTATCCACATCTTTAGGATATCTGGTACATTGAACATCATCAGTTGCCTATTACTTGGATCCATCTGATAGACCTTAGTGATCTATGGATGCATGTGCTACGCATCTCTTTGATCTGCAGAAGTTTCTTCAGCTCTACCTGTGGAGCGATTTCTTTCTAAGATTGACCAAACTTGTGAGCGAAGATGAAGGTCGAAGATCTTACGGGTGTAAAAAGTTAGTGAAGAGCCACGCCTTTAGAACACTGACGGCTCTGTCTGGGAGGCCTCTTTGCGGTCTCCAAGTGGAATTCAGATTTAGACGCCCACTGTACATGCGCTGCTGACGCCTGGGTCCATTGTTTGTGCCCGCAATCCTTACAGCTTCTGCTATCCTGTTTTCTTGCTTCGGTTCGAGCTTTACGATCATCTTATGACATCCATTGATCATACGCTTCTTATAAGGTGCATGGGCCCTCCTGATCACCATCAAGGCTTTTCTGGCCATCCTCTTTGCAGCCCTCACGCGACAGGCTATGAGTCGGTCTCTGATATTTTTGTCGAAATCAGGAACTGCTGTTGAGTCTCCAAGGACCTTCTTCACACAGACCAGATGCTCTAAGAAGGTATCTCTGTATCTTCGCAAACGCCTCGATAACTCCATGAGTGGATATTCTGTATAAATGTTGCCGATAAAATGACCAAAAGAATCATCCGTCTCGTCATTTATATTCTCCAAGGTCGAGCGGTATTCATAATACCAGTCATCGATCTGAATATGAAGTCACGGATTTTTACCACGGTGAGAATGCTGATACTTGCGAGTGGGATACATTGTCTCACAAATGGAAAAGGATGTACATGAAAAGTAATGATGTAAATGAACTTGTACGCATTTTGTGTGAGTAGATCTCCATAAATGGTACGAACAACTTCGAGAATCATGATCATTACCTCATCAATGTAAGCCCGAAACATCTTTTTTCTGTCATGCAATGTAACTCCACGACTTCTGGGCTTCCACAACCATGCCATGACATCCCTGCTCCTGCCTCTGTGGACGGGTTTGTAGTCAAGCTGATCCGCGGTGAACGAATCTGCCAAATCTATACCTTGATTTTCGATGCGTATCGAACACTCTCTTCTGAAGGCTCGTGCCCTTTGGGCTATAAGGGCAGCCCAAAGCTGGGCAGCAGGATGTGAAGTGCCTGCTGCTGTTGATTGTGATGATCTTGCAGATGCAGATTTTCGTGCCGCAGGACGCTGCGCCATTTCAGTAAAATAGCGCTGCGATCTTAGAAAATCAAAAGGAACAATGGGAATCTCGGGGACGTTTTTCGGCCTCGAAAAAGATAAAACCTCGCGAAACAACGCTTCTATCTCTCTGATCTTCTCATCCTCCCGAAACCGCATTGGATAATATCTGAGCCCAAAGTCTTTGAGCATTTTGGTGGTAACATCCGGCGGGTACAGATTATCACAGATTTTGGTAAAATCAAAAAAGTAGAATCTGCGTTCACTTTTGACTTCCCCTTCCCCTTCCCTTTCCCTTTCCCTTTCCTCATCTTCGAGTTCCCCCGCGTCGTCGTCTCCTGACTCTTGCAAAGTTTCAGCTCCAGATTTCGATTCCTCCACGTTTCTTTCAACCCTGGCGCCAACTTCAGTGTCCTCATCTCTAGGTTGTCCCGCAAATCGCTCCGATTCAGGTTCGCTATCAGATTCCTTATCTTCTGGCAAAGGCGTCTGCACGCTTTCGCCGTCTTCGCTTGCATCTCCTAAATCCACGAAAGTGAGGGGATGAGGAGGAGCCCTCTGGTGTGGAGGGCCGTCACCCTGAGGCGCTTGATTAGCAACTGCGAACTGAATTGGATTCTGTGCCCTTCCATCGCCGTTCTGTGGGGCGCTCCACCGCTTGAAGCCCGTAGATCTCTTTCCATCCGATCCATCACAGTACGTCTCCCGCTCCGAGCCCACTCCTTGCGTACCAGGTGGCGCTTCCTGTTCCCTGTTACCCAAACCAAAGCCATTATCAGTTTTTCTAATACTGAGGATTGCTGTCATGGTTCCACGAACTGAGTGGCAGGCAGCTCAATCAGTTCGGTCCCATGCACGGTTGGATCGGATATTCAGCCTATTGAGAAAGAGATCGGACACCAGAGAGCTCAAGTATAGGTGGCATCAGTTCCATACCTTTGGATGCGAGCGTCCTTGGTCTCATTTGGAGGTCGAGACTGACATTGAGCGATGGAGGGTCCGGAGCTGTAAAGCCAATGGGGTCCTTGCGAGGTCATTACTCTAGCATGATCACCCGTCTCCTGGACCACCTGTTTACCGACGTTGCCTCCATAATGGGGTTCGGGCTTGGGCTGAGGCTGAGGTGGAGGTTTGTACAAGGGGAAGATGGCTACAAATGGAGCTTCAGATTCAACCTTCGCTCCCCGAGTCATCACCTTGCCTTGGCACGCAAAGGACATGTGAGGGTGATGTGGAAAGACCTCTGATCTTTCTGCAGGTTTCTGATCTCGTTCATCAATGACTCGGTCCGACCCCTCCTCAGTCACTGTCTTGGCATGCTCGGCCGTACTTGGAAGCTGCGAGAAGTGGAGAAAAGTCTGCCCGAGTCCATGCGGCAGTTGTGATTGCCCACCAGTTGAGTCTGAACGATCTTGTTCAGGTCCAGTCGGGGGACTTGGCAGTGGCGAAGATGAGACGAGTGAAGCATGTGATGGTTCACATTGTGCAGGGAAACTTCCTCCCTGGGGGGTCGCCGATCCTTCATAAAAAGGATGGAGGTAGGGAGTCGGGGGAGAGGCTGAAAATTTCCCTCCACTCGCTGCCTCAGGAGCTGCACTGAGGTTGGTGTAAAATTCTTCCATCAGAGACTTCTGACTTTCGGGATTCACAGGAAGCTGCGAAAGTTCAAGTGCAACTTGATAAGCCTCGGAAAAACGCTCAGCTATGTGAGCTTTTTGAGAACCTGCAGGAAGATGTTGAGATTGTTTCGCATTTTGGTATTCCTGCAGATACTTTGCAGCTAGGGAAGCTTTCAAGTAGGCCTCTTGATAGTGTGCAGCCATCAATACTGCTAGAAATTCTGCATTGATATGCTGGCCACGATCTTGGTCTGCTGAAGCTTGCTTCTGGCACTTTCGGTGTATCTCTTCATTGTGTTGGGTTGAGGTCGAACATCCGCCCTGGAAAGCTTCACGTCCCGCTTGCTGCGCTGCAGGAGTTACTGAAATTCCCTCATTCTGAACATTCAAATCTCGACGTAGTGGCTGTCGCTGAGTTTGATGCTCCCCATGTCGCCCCTGATCCTCAGTTGCAACTTTGCGCTCCGTCTGGAATTCCCTTGCGTCACTCCGACTCGTTATTGAGGGCTTGACCTCCTGAGACTGATGTATATGCTGTTCTGGGTCTCCTCGAGCATGAAATCTCTTCCCGTGATCAGAATCATGTGTAGGAAGTCCGCCCCCACGACCTGCGCTTTTCGCCGGTTGGTGCTTAGCTGGAAAACCACTTTCAGTCTGAGAGTCAAGACAATGAGTCTGAGAGTCAAGACAATGGCCTTCTTTCTGAACCAAGCTACCCCTACGCTCAGCCGGACACATGGGTCGATTTGCTGAGCTCCGGATCTGATTCAGGCAAGCAGGCGTTGCTTTTCCTTTTCGGAGGAGGTGACTGTACGCTGTCTCTTCATTCGATTCTGCAGTGATGTCCTCGAGGAGCTTTGTGAGAGGTACCACTTTTTCACCTAAAATTCCGGTGAGAAGAAAACGAGAGGTCCGCTCCGAAAGCGCATCAGGATCACCTTCTGATTTCATGCTTTTGATCTTTTTCCCAGCATCAGCTTCAACAGCCTGGAGATTGTGCCTCCGCTTCACGTGTTGCGTATCTGTGCAGGAAAAAAATGATTGGCATCATCACATAGGTCGTGCGAACTCCCAGAAAGTTCTCTGAATTAAACCAAAACTTAGCTATCTCCTGTTCAGTGCTCTAGAGGCCAGAACATCACTATCCAGGAACTGACTTTCAGCGATTCGCTTGGATTGGTCCTGCGAAAAGATGAAAAGCTGACGATCCCTTCACTTTTTAGAACCAATAAATTCGTCTTCGATATAAGAGGAGGGAAAAGACCATTTATGTGGAGACACGGTAGTTGAGTTGTGATGAAGTGCATATATTGGCTCGGCAGATGGACCATATACCTGTATGTATGCACAGCCTGTGGCTCGACTAGTAAAAAAGTATCAACATCACCCTCTGTATACATATACTGTCTTCATGATGATACATACGTACCTCCGCGATCAGGACACTGATGCTCTGCTGCATCGCAGTAAGACGTCTGAACGACTGATACTTTGACAGTATTCCAATCGAGAGGCTCTTTCTTGACAAGCCGTTTGGTATGGAAGTGATTTGTGCCCCTCTCATGAGTTGAATTGTGTTCTTGACAAGTTATGTTCGAGTTGCTGGAACTTGACCATGGAAAGCTGGTCTTCTGGTTGTTGGTACGCATGTAATACTTCTTGCCGGTGGATCGAGTATCTGCACAATCAAGTTCACCCATGTGGCAGTGGACTGAAGTCTTCTAGTAATGCTCTTCGGACACTCACAACAGTCAGAGCCCTTTATGACTATCTACCAAAAGCGTCTCCTTTGGCTTGGAGAGTAGACCGTTTTATTATAGCAAGCATAAATCCTGACAGTGTTCTTCTACGAAACAAGGGATCACAATTTATGTGTACTAGAGTGGTCCGGGGAGCAGTACTTGCCCATGCAGCCAATTGTCTGATTTCCTCATAAACAGAAAGCACAAAATGAGGCATGTAGGCGTGGATCATTAACACTATACCTGCCATGATGAGTCTTGTTCTCGCGCCCGAAGTGACAACACGTAAAGCTGTTTTTTGACTAAAAGTGTGCAACTGGATCGATAGGCTTCATGAACATATTCGATTCCAGATTTCTTGAAGAGCGATATACTTGTTTATGTGTCTATCTACCATCTTGCATCGTTAGAGAATGTACTAAAGTGCATTGGAAACATGCAAGTTCAATGACGGACCGCTAACCAGATGAACTTTTGTTCTTCGTATCCCTGGTTATCGACAGCAGAAGGCCACTAATTGTCGGTGTAGACAGCATCTGATGAGACAGCAGTCCTGTCATCTCTCAAAGCCAAATCTTATCAGCAAAAGGTCCATCCGATGGAACTAACGCACAATCCAGAATCCTTATTTCTTTGAGTTCGATCACCCGAAAGCAGCCTTACTACCAGAGAGTGCGCGCTGGATATCTCGCTGTCTAGATCTATCTTGTGATCAAGGGAGAAATTTTTCATGTCAGAAATGTTTGCGTTGTTCTAGCCTTGCAAGAGGAGAGAGGGCATGAACTACTGACGAGCAACTCTTACCAATGCAACCACGAGAGCTCACCCTTAACCTCCGCTATAACTCATTTCACCATTTGGGACATTTTTCATCGTGTTCTCATGAGGCTGCCCAGCCTAAGCAGCTCCTCTACGCCACAGATTCCGTGTTGCCCAGTAATTTTTGTTGCCATCCACCAGTGGATGCCGTAAATCTATCAATCTCTGCACTGACATTTTTTTACTGGAGTGTCGTGAGTCAGTCGATTCATCTTCTTTCTGGGCTTGGTTCGACGTCACTTTCAACAACAACTTGTTGCCATCTTGCGAAATATTTGGAAATAAATTAAGCTCAACAATCCAATGCATGTTAAACTTGAGAACATCATAAAACAGGATCTCAATTTTTTATTGTATTACCATAACTCCAGTCACCAACAGTTGGAATGTAATCCGGATCACTTTGGTGATAATGATCGGCCCGACAAGAGAATTACAAAATTGTTGTGCACGGATGCTGGATCTGCGTAAATTCTGGAAAGGTATGGTCAAAGTCAGAATTAGTGTAACTGTATGTCTGGAATACTGCTACTCTTGCGTGGACACGTGTCGAATCAAGGCGGCCTCTTTGATTGCTGCCAAAGATGGCATGTGACTGGGACAGAAGGCGCCCTCACAGGGCTTCTATCGCGCGCCGGTGAGACAAAATTATAGGCATATGCGGTGTCCCGATCATCCCGGTCATTCCATTCTGTCCGTCAGCACCTCCATCTAACACCCGGTAGGACACTAGTACCTAGTACCATGCTTGACGTATAGGAGGTCTTCGTCCTCTCATCCGTAACGCAGTCTTCGACTGTACTTAAAAAATCATAAACAGTATCAAGTGACCGGTAAATGTAGTTGATGATGCTTATCTTTACCTCCACCAGTACACGGTCAGAATGCGAATTGTGTGTACATATCTTAATTTCGTCTTTTCGTATCAGTTATTTTCTCCTGCCGAATGCTTCTAGACTGACGCAATGATATCTGCAATGAGCCATGTAAGTTGCTCCATACTGCCCCTTGGTTGTAAGAGTTGGGACTTACTTCATTTACCTCAACCACCACCCTCGGTTAAAATTTCCAACTTGCGTGATACACCACCAACCGTAAGGGCAGCTGGGCAGAATATGTCAGACAAGTCTTCAAATACAAGGAACGTTTCTAGGCATGTAGAAGCATGTTCTGCTCTGAAGATATTTGTGGCAGAAACTTAAGATGAACTGGCGAGTTTATTTTGTTCAATCTCTTCATCATCATACTTAATTGTGTTGGAATGAGAATGCGAAAGTTTTCTTTCTTACATAAAATGTAATTTTATGGCTCTAATTTTCGCGCAGCCTATATAGTACGTGGGTAGTGTGATCCAATTATTGTGTGGTTTAGGCTCTAATCTAAATTTCGGTGAAGCAAGATATTTTGATGTGCAGCTCGGCCTGTGATTTTAACTTCAGTTACAAGGTAGATAAGCTGTTTGCTCTTACAACTTTATCTACTTGAGTAAGAGTATTTTTTTAGTTAGTTAACATCTTAGTGATAAAAAATTTTGAAGAAATAATTTCAATAGCAGTTTAAAAGGTGTAACGATCGTCTTACCCTCCGATATTCAATACTAAAAATCTATGCTTCATTGTGAGATGAAGCGATGATACAACAAGTATTTGGAGATAGAGAGCTGGTTGTTTCATATGTTGAAGCCTTTTTTGTGATTTATGGAGAATGATTTCTCAAAACGCACAATCAGATATATCACAGACAGAGTCATAACCATCCGTGTCAAATTGTATTGTAGAAACATGTAGAGTAGAAATATGACGGTATGAAAACACATTTCTTCTGGAAATATTTATATATCTGTTTTCGGAGTTTTGTGGGAAACTAACACAGTTGTCCCGAAGTCGACCAGTTGAACTAAGTCAAAGGTGAAAACATCTAGATAGAGTGGACACCATTAAGTAGCGTCGAGTGGGGGACTGAAGTGACAGATATATTTTTCACAAATCTCAATAGCTTGGAATCAACTTTGATAAGTTTGGATTTCCTCGACTTGCTCCTTTTCACATACCAGAGTACAACGATAATACAAATCCGTGACCGTGGCCGAAAAAGACATGTACAGTACTTAGGAAAGTGCGAAACTTGATATTGATGCACCTGCAATAAACTAAGATCAGAATAAGCTTGAGGATACAAGCTTGTAGACTCGAGCAAAACATTTTTAATGAATTCTTATTTCGATCCACGAAAAGCTTTTAAGATTTCCTCTCCATCACAAAAGTCTCACCTTTTTGTTCGTCGAGCTTAAAAGTTGATCTGGAATATTCTAAGAGTATACTGTATCCCAACGTGACCATAAAAAAAAACTGATCTGGAACCATGCTAACCAGATGATGACAGTCTGAGCTAGAGCATGACGGGCGACTGGATACCCGGGTCCGTTTTCCAAGCCTCCAAGGTACGAGGAAATGAATACTTGGGAGTAAATTTAGTCGCACAAAGGAACAAGAAAGTACGTAGTTATTTACATGGTCCCACTTCTGTAAGGAAATAATTCGCCTAGAACGTGTATGTAATTATCACGTTGCTATCCACATCGCCCCACTTCCTGAGTAAGTATTCTGCCTAGACCGAGTACCCAATCTGTGTATTTGTATGTTTATGGTCTCTCAAGTAAATAAATAAAAAGCTTTATTTATATTTATGATATATCGATTTAAAGTATCATATATATAAAAGTTTCTAGTTATGTTTTCAGAGACAAGGATGTACCCCACGCCGAGGAGACAACATGGGGAGGGTTAGACGTGAATTCTCGCATTTGCTGCTGAACAATAGGAACACTGTCACTTTTAACCTTCCTTGGAGCGGTCACCATTGACGTATCTAAAGCTGACCACAGATCGGTACGAGATCTTTTCCTGTACGTCGAAATTCGCACGGAAAATAGCTCCTACGCCGAAAAGCCGTACAAAATCCGAAGTTCTGTACAGCTGAGGTCAAATTACGAATCCATGGCACTCGTACCTTTCTTTGAGATACAGTAAGGCTGAATCACGTGTTGAGATCTATCGCCACCCGTAATTCTCCATCCTGTTTTTTGTGATCTTTATCCTTATTCTTCATCCGTGGCCTAATTCGTATTTCTTTCTTCCTTTCCATTCCTGTTTTCTTGACGTAACTGAATCCAGGACCGTCTCAATTCGAACCAACGGACTTTGTATCAGAATTTCAGTTTAAACCCTTGAGACTATCCAAAGTCATGATTGAGCACATTTATTACAGAGGAATGCACACCTGAACGAAAAACTAGTCACTAAGCTACTGCCTTCCCAAATTTGCACGTGGAGACGAGAAAAAAGTTCAGTTATCTGGTACCCATTGCCGAATAATTTAACTCAACTTTACTCTTTGCCCATCATGATTTTCAAGTGCTACAGTTTCTACATAAATTTTTTGAGAATATTTCATTATAATATATACGGATTCAGATTGATGTACTTTGTGCTTCTCAAGTTCCTCACATTGTGAAACAGATGACGTGCTTTAATCTCTTATTGTATCCTGCTTCTTGCAAGTCAAATATTCGACAAGCACAGCGAGTAGAGTGCCCCCCTACATTGTCCTGTTATCTTCTGTGAAGGCGACTACTGCGATACAGCCGGGTTCCCTTTTTTATACGGGACAATCCCAGTCCTTGTCCTTGATCGATGTAGCAAATGTTCGATTCGAGATTCCCTTCCCATCAATTATTGACTCAACTCTCCAGTCGAAGTCTCGGAGTGATACCATTCCCCACGGAAAATCGGGGGTCCCCTGGCGTCAAGTGGTAGAATAATCTTTTTCAGAAGTATATTCTTTGTTTCTCAAATTTTTCACTTCAATGTTAAAAGTGGCCAGTATGTAGATTCATGCAAAACGGTCTGATGCGCTGCGCTTCGACCGTGTAGATTCATTCATCGGGATCATGCTAAGCGGTCCGATGAGCGGCGTTTCACGGACCGTGTAGATTCATTCATCAGGATCATGCGAAGCAGTCCATTGAGCTACGCTTCGCGGACGGGCAGATCTGCCCGACTGGAGCGTGGGATCCTCACCATCCAAGGACAGCAGGAGAGCAGCCACTATGAATG